AAAAAAAAAAAAAAAAAAAAAAAAAAAAAAAAAAAAAAAAAAAAAAAAAAAAAAAAAAACAAAGAAAGACAAAGACAAAGAAACGAACCTTGTTGCTCCTGAGGATCTATACAGTGCGTTGCCCTGGAGACCCCACACCTCCTCGTGAAGACAAGCGGTAAACATAGAGAGGATGCCGGGGTGGTGTTCGAGCCATGTCTTGAACTCAGGGAAAGACAGGCGGCCATGCTCCACAAACTGCAGCAGCAGCAGCAGCAGCAGCAGCAGCAGCAGCAGCAGCAGCAGTAGGAGGAGGAGGAGGAGGAGGAGTATAGGAAGAGCAGCAGCAGCAGCAGAAAGAGGAACAGAAACAGCAGCAAGGAAGCAGAAACACACACAAATATTATACATGCAAAGCTATATCCAAAGCAGCAGCAGCAGCAGCAATAACAGCTGCAGCAGCAGCAGCAGCAACAAGAGCTACAGCAGCAGCAACAACTGCAGCAGCAACAACTCCAGTATGCAGCAGCAGTGATCACAAGAGCAGCAACGGCATCACCTGCAGCAGCAGCAACACCAAAAGCAACACTAGCAGCAGCAGCACCAGCCGCAGCAGCAGCAGCAGCAGCAGCAGCAGCAGCAGGATGTTATTATACCTCGCATTCCTCAATAATTTTATCAGCAACACACTCAACGTCAACAGCTGGCTGCTGGTTGGTTCCTAGCTGCTGCTGCTTCTCTATATCTATCAGCAGCTGAGCAACAGGAGAAGGATTTTTCTTTGCTTTGCTGCTGCAGCTTGCTGCTGAAAGGAGACTGCTGTCTCCGTCGTCTTCCTCGCCGCTCTTACCCTCGCAATCCACCCCATCCATCTGCTGCTGCTGCTGCTGCTGCTGCTGCTGCTGATGCGAAGCAGCTGCGTCAGGCGCCGTCAGGGATACACTGCAGCCTGCTGCAGTCAGGAGGGGTGTTGCAGCAGTTGCTGCTGTTGTGTTCTCAGCTGCTGCTGCTGCTGCTGCTGCNGCTGCTGCTGCTGCTGCTGCTGCACCGGGGGCCAAGCATTCCGGCTCTGGAGCTGGAGGCGCAGCAGCTGCTGCTGCTGCAGCTTTGGGTGCTGCTGTTGCTGCTGCTGCTGCAGCAACACCAGCAGCAGCCCCAGCAGCAGCTCCTGCTGCAGCAGCAGCAGTTCCTGCTTCTGGAGCTCCGGCTGCTTCTGCGCCAGCAGCTGCAGCACCCGCTGCAGCAGCTGCTGCTTGTACTGCAGCAGCACCAGCAGCAGCTGCTGCAGCAGCAGCAGCAGCAGCAGCAGGATATGTAAGAGGTGCAACAGAGAAATCAGAGACACTTGATGCCTCGCTGCTGTCTGTCTCTTCCTCTACAGGGTCTAGCCCTTCTCTGCTCGAAACCTGTGTCCATGTGGTAGTTTCTTGCTGCTGCTGCTGCTGCTGCTGCTGCTGCT